TACTACAACACTGCTCTTAGGGATGGTTATGAACCTGTTGCTTCAATTTTGTCTCGTCATGGAGCTGCTTTGCATTTTTCGTAAGATTCTAAATTTTAAGGTTCTTACTAGAATTTTGTTCATAGTACCAACCTGATGACTAAAGGGTTTCCTTAGACATGATCTTTTCCAATGTATCTATTCTAGCATGCTCACATACTAAATATCTTATTGCAGCTGCTTAGAAATGATGGACACTGATAACCCAGCATCCTATCTTTGCAGCCCAGAAGGATTACGCCAACAGGTATTTGGCCTGTTGATTAATAATGCATTGCTTCTATGCTTGTTGCGTTGTTGGGAATTAGTTTGAAGTCCTTGTTTCAGTTTTGACATTTTCGTTTGTATTTCTCAAGTTTTCAAGTTAGCTAGGCCATGCAGCTTTTCTTGGCACGGCAAGTCATGCCAGGTCTAGGCCCAACATGAGCTTGGCATGCGCCCTTGCGATTTTTTTAGTATTACGGATATTGGGTATTGGTGATTTTGTAGTTTTCTTTTAGCATAATCTATTGTAAGGTAAATCTTAGTATTAATTGGGTTGTTTTCTGTGGCGAAATGAAGAATAAAGAAAAAACGTATAACAATTTCTCAACGAATAATTATTTTCTGTACTATTGAAATTTGGAATACAATTTACTACAAAATAAGGTTGGAACTGCATCAATATCGTTTTAGCATCACTATAGTTTACGTATATCTTACTTTATGTTGGCATGGCCTGGTCCATTTTACTCCACTAGGTGGTGGTAGTGGTGGTTTGCTGCCATCTATATCATTCAATTGGTTTCTTATATAAAATGTTTACTGGATTTTTATCCAATTAAACTTTGCTCTAACATGATTCTATTTGACCCCAGATATGGACTGCTTCAAAGAAAAGGATAATACATTTGATCGGGAGAAATACCAATGAACGATTTGACAGGGTAGATTCATCCTTTGCTTAAGAGAAAAAAGCAAATTTCAGCTACCTTATATTTCTATTTGACCGTCTATTGGACAGCACACACAGATATGGATTGAACATTATTTATTTAATATTGCAATTGGGTTTGCTCATGTAAGAGAGTATTTGATTGAAAGGAGATGAAATGTCTGACAATCCTAGAATAGCAACAAATAATTAGTAAGAATGACTTCTGATATCATTTAAGGTGGCTAGCTTAAAATGAATTTAGGGTTTATCTCCTTCTTTGGTTGCCCATTTTGCCCCCATATTCACCCATTGGCTTTTCTCTTGCAGGTTGGGTTATGGCAAATACATGCTAACTGCCACCATTCACAGGCCGAAGCTGTAAGATCATTTACTTACTTCAGAATGAATGATAAGATTTTTAGGGCTGAAAACTGGAATAATTTTGTTCCTTTTGTTAGAAAGATGAGCGCAAATTGGTGAAGTGCCTCAACCCAATATAACCATTAAATTTCACTGAACAATCAAGAGCAACAGTCTCACTGCCCTATAATATTTTTTGTTCAAGGGCAGATGTAGAAGTTAAGTAACTTCTTGATTAATGAAATAACTTTGTGTTTCTATCCTGTGTGTGCTTGATCTGTGTGCGCTTTGGCTTTTATACAAATAGAAAAGTAAACATCTAACTGTTCTGTTGGCCTGGGGTTTGACATTGTTAGCATATTTGACAATCAAGAAATCCAACAGATAGAGGGCTGCTAGTCAGTTGTGTGAAGATGGTCTTTTGTGCCACGCTTGATGTTTTTAGGTTGGCTTGCAGGATTCTCTTGTCAATAAGATGTAAATTCAATCCGCTCAAACGAACTGATTCAATCCAATTCAGTTTTTATTGGTTTTGATGACTTTAGCAGATTGAATTGGATCTCTAAATTCAAAAACCGACATACGGATTTTGTTGTAAGAAGAATCCAACCCAATATGTTGATTTCATCTTATTATTTGCTTTCATAGCAATTTAAAATTAATAAAGCGTTAGTAATTTAAGCCATTCGAGAAAATTATGTTGAACACATTTCATCAACATTTAATGTTTGGGGGAGTCGCATTGCATTGTATTTTAATGACATTTAACTATTCAATTAAACGGTTATTATATTAGTATTTTCTTAAAATTGTATTTCAATGACGAATGCGAAACCATTTAACTATTCAATTAAATGGTTTTTATACTAGTATTTTTTACAAATACCATGTTCGTTGTTTGGATTGTTCAAGTAAAAGTAGTGGTGACCTCACAATATGTCCTCCAAATAAGGTTAATTGAGGGGTGCGTTACGCATTCTATATCAATGCCGCACCGTATGCCCAAGTATGAAGCTGTCTACAGCATCTACTTTGAAGATTGGTGGGCCTTGAGTCTTTGAAGGTGTGTATGGCCAAGTGAAACAGCAACAGCTTGGGAAAGCACAAACATTTTTGGGCCTGAACCGAATAAAAACTGGAACAAGCTATGGATTTTGAGTGCTTCTATAGTGAGTGGAAAGTTATAAGGGGTTTTTTAGAGGGGTATGTAAGAGCCGTTGGATTTCATCCAACGGTGAGTTTTTAAAAGAGGGTGCATGTAGAACCGGGTTGAAATCTGACCCGTTTGGAAACCCAACTTCAGCTGAAGATTTTTCCCTCTCTGTGAAAAACTCAAGAACACAATCCTCTCTTTTTTAATGTAATGCAAATCCACAATTAGAAAGATCCAAAGCTCCCAAACTCTATAATCGCTCCATTGTCATCAGCTCCTTGGGAGGCCTGCGATCTATGGTATCCTCGGTATGATGATTAATGGCTTTTACCTAGCTATTGCCCTGTTTTGATTCTATGATTGAAGTGAAAACCCCTTCTCTTTTTCGTTCAGCAGAAGAGATTCCAGATGAAAGCAAAGTAGCATATCTTTTTTTCGTGCTGCTGCAGTTGTTCCCGGATTTTGGTAGAGATGGAGTCTCCACTACGAAAGAATCCTCTCTAATGTCCACCACATTCTTTGAAGCTGACTGAGTTCGGAACTCCCGATTGACTTTGAGAGGTAAGTTCACTCTTGCTAGATTGATTTTGTTGGGTTTGATTTGTTTTTTGTGAGGGTGAGAAATTTGTCATTTGTGGCATCAATAATGCGTCATTTGCTCTGCTATCAATAATGCGTCATTT